GTTCAAGTGTGTGAGGAAAGGCGTATTGGTCTGCTCGTGGCCAAGGATGTCTGATATAGGGTGGGTTGACCTATAGTGGCGAATCACAATTGGAACTGAGTCAACGCTAGCCTGGAAGGGATCGACTCGGGGACTATCGAGATATATTCGCGTTGGCTCTTGGAGTCAACAATTGTTGGAGTGAGGGAACGGAGTAATTGTCAATCGTGGATTCCCAACACGACAGTGATCCTGGAAAGGCTAGGTCAGTTAATACAGACAGATCTTTCGGATTCGCCTCCAGTCCATTGTGCGAGACCTTGTGCCCAATGTATTCCACCCTAGGCATTCCCCAAAAGCTCTTAACCACACAGATCGACAAATTCCTCTCATCACATGTTTCGAGCAACCCCTCGACTCAGTCGCATAGTTGATCCCAGTTGTCGGCGGGGATTAGGATGCCATCGATATATGATCTGCGACCAAGCACCGAAGGCTTGCCTGGATCCACCGGTTTCCCGTCCTCAAACACATCCGAAGTACTTTTGTGACCTTCAGATCTCGGGTCCGGGTGAACCCATATAGCGCGTTATCGATCATACGTTGATAGATCTGGGGCGCATTCTTCAGGCCAAAAGGCATTCGATTCCACTCGAATAGCCCAAAAGGAGTGATGAAAGCCGAGATCAAACGGGCACGACCCGTCATTTTCACTACCCAAAATCCACTCGCCATATCCAAAGAACAGTACCAAAGTGTCGACTCCAGATCTTCGAGTAGATCGTTGATCAAGGGCATTGGGTATACCATCAGTTGTGTCAGGCTATTCGTTGTGATTGCACTTCACCGTCACTTCGTCTGGGTCCCTACCGCTAGGCACGCGCTAGCAGGCACGTGGTCGGTGCATGGCAGTCGTGTGCCACTAAGGGTCATAAGTTGAAGTGGACGGAATGGTGCGATCTGATTGGCTGATCACCCATGATTGGCAATGTTAACGCCACGGTGGATTTGTGTATATCCATTCCACACACAAAAATCAAGTGAATTTCGTCGGCAACGCCTGGTACGATTATATCGTCCTCCAGATGGAGACGATCGGTGAGACTCTGGACGAATCTCGACAGCTCGTGTTGCTCCTTGGCAGTCTGACGGACGAGTACAGGATGATA